ATCGCGCCATTGCACTCCAGCCTGGGTATCAAGAGCGAAACTCCGTCTCAAAAAAAAACAACTAAAAAAACTTTATGCCCTATCCATGGTCCATAGGTCTATCCATGGTCCACTTTCCCAGACCCCCTTGTCCATTATCTTTCAAACTGCTTGGGTCCATGTACATTCTTATCTCAAGCTACTTCTCTTCCCACATAAAATGGATGCACTCCACCCCCAGAACTTTGCCCAGTGGGAACATTTTTCTCTTAGCGCTATCTTTCAAGGGCTCCTAAGTGGAGTTGTAGTGTAGCAGCATTTTCAGTTTGCATTCGTACACACAAGCTGACCCATGACTACATTCAGCCTTTTCCTCCTCTACCATCTGGCACAGGCTTCTCCTTACCCCATGCAGCCACAGTGAGGGCTGTGGGAGAGGTGCTGGTACAACAGGGACAGTGTCAGAACCCACTTTAAGGTGAACAGCACTGGCCACATGGTTACTCTCTGTCTGATGATCAGCTGCTTCATCTCCATCAAAGCATAGTAGCAACCCAGGAGGTGTTTTTGTGACTGTTGTATGGCAGGCCTTGCTCTAAAACACTACGAGTTTACACTGTGATTCTCCTGTTGGCCTTTGCCATCAACACTACATGGCATCTTTTTCCACCACAGATACATTTGACACCATGGAGTCTGTTAAATGGTCTGAGCACACTGCAGAGCTCTTTCGTGCTCTAGGCCCCACTCAAATCTGGCAACCCCTCACATCACCACTCAGCAAATCAGTCTGAGACATAGTCCAAGTGTGGAATATGCTGCTTCCAGAACCTGAAGAAGCCTAGTAAGTGTTATGCTTTTTTTTTCTATACTGGTGAGAGATGTAAGATGCAGCAATTTGTTCTTAATTTGGAGAGTATGCCCCAACATAACCCAGAACACTGAATTCCTAAAAAATGCTATTGATTCACTAGGTCCCTGAATCTTCAAAGGGTTTACCATCCACTCGCTGGTGTGGCTGTCTTATTAAAGCTTCTAACACACTTGCTATTTCTTGCTAATCTGTTCCAATTAGCAGAATGTCATCATCAGACACCATGCTCTGAGGAATGTCCAGATAGCCCCATTCTTTCACACGGAGTGGAGGAATTAACAAAGCCCTGAGGCAGGACTGTAAACACATATTGTTGTTTATTTCACACAAATGGGAGCTGCATACAATAATCCTTTTGATAACTAGAGAAGAATGTATTTGCCAGATCAGTGGCTGCATGCCATGTCATTCTGCTCCTGCAAAGATTCTACATGAGGTTGCTGCAAGAGGGTACAACTTGGGCAACCTATCCAATTTTTATAAAGGCCAAAATGATTAATTAAATTAAGAAATAACAGGGACCACTGCCTGTGCATTCTTAATATCTTTAAAGGTGTCATTAATCTCTACTTTTTTCCCTAGAATGTATTATTGATTTTGATGTATTATCTTTGCTAAGGGATGGGGGTGTAGTGTAAAAAGCCTGCTTCGAGGGCTTCCAGTTGGCATTTCCCACTCTGATACCTCTTAACCACAGGCCAATAAACCAGTGTGAGGGTTCTACTATCAAACGTGTTCATTACAGTTATAAACTCAGGGGCCAGGGAAGTAACCATTATGTAGGTCCACTGACTGAACAGATTCACTGTGAATGGATCTGAGTCAAAATGCCACTTATTCCCAGCCAACCATGTGTCCTCATTCTAATGGAGAGTCACAATGGCATTTTGGGTCAGGCATTAATGCCAATTCAGATCTTGTGACCAATAATTTTTGAAAGGTCTAGGTATTCTCTTTTCCCTAATTCACACAAATAAATAGTCATAGGCCTCTCTGGGTACAGAATGGGGGAATTACTACTAGATACCTGTGACAGTATTGCAGACAGCATTGCAGAGTCCCTTCTCATAAGGACCTAACCTCTCCCTCAGTTACTGGGCTCCAGATCTGAGAACTGGATCAGGTCTCAAAACTTTTCGTAAGACAGCTATAAGCCCCTGATCATCCATCTCCACAGATCTCCACAGGTTGGGCCACATGACTGCCACTGCAATATTACCATTCCTTGTAATAACTGCCTACCTACTTCTCTGATTGTTAGGCACTGCCACCTATCCTCAATTATGTTGAGATCTTATCTGTTCCACTGTGCTCAGAGAGCCCAGTATTCTCACAGCATCGCCTTCATCAGTCCTGGGCCAACAGAGGTCAGGCACTATTAGTCTTCCCAACATTGCTGCTGATCCTCTCTCAGGCACATTCCTTATTGACAAACACAGGGTCCTCCAGGCTCTCCAATGGAGCAGAGACAGCTGATGGGTTTTTGGCCTTACATTGTATATCCACTCCAGCACATCTGACACTCCGAGACTTTTGATTCTTTCCTCCACCATCTGGCAGGAAAGTTCTGTCTCCACTTTACTTAATACGGACCATCACATTTTCCAAGGTTCCAGAGGCATCCTAGCAGCATATTAGCACTGTATCCAGAGTCCTTGCCAGGGTGTTTAATTCTGTATCATGGGAGAGTGCTCCTATATGAATAATCCCCCCTTATCTAACTGTATGCTCCACAGCTCCCTGATCCAGAACCCTCAGGAACCAGGCCCACGCATACTTTTCCACCCTTGCTGATCTCTATAAGCCAGATCCTGCAGCTCCTTTGATGTATAGTCTGTCTCCTTCCTTAGCTGGCCCAACCTATCCTCACTCAAGCTGTGCTGAGAATTTACTAGTGTCTTTTGTCTGAATGCCAAGAATAAAAAGGGTAGATCTTGGGGGTGAGGGGAGGTCTAACTATTTCCCTCATTGTCAAGGCTTCTGCATATTCTTTAAGTAGAGCCACTTATTTTTTGACAAAGAAAGGTATGTCACTTTGCAAGCCCAGCAGATTTGAGAAAATTGAGGATTTCAAAGTTCACAACCTCATCTACCCAGGTGTCCCGAGCCCAGGTCTCAGGATCCCATTTTTCTCCTATTTGGGCCCCAACGTTGGCTCAGGAGAATTGCCAGAATGTGAGTTTAACATCCTCTGAAGCTCCACTCTTCCTATGATTAAGTCCTGAGCTGGTCCTCCTCTCCGTCTACCCTCCAGCTGCAAGAGATTAGGATTTCCTTAAATATTGCCAATGAGGCTCTCCAGTTTCCACATTTTGTCTTGAATTGGTAATCACCTGAGCCCTTCATTATCCCTTTTTCATGAATGTGTTGCTCTGCAACAACCACCCAATTCCAAAGTCACTGCAGTTATAATTCCTTGTACTTCTTAAGAACCAGAGATCTTGCACTATCCAGTCTGTCTCCTTCTACCAATAGCCCAACCCAATTTGCTACTAGTGGAAGTTTTAACAATTACACCAATATGACACAGCAGGGAATCTCCATATTCCACTTAGAAATAGTCATGGGGTCCTCATTGTCATTCAGCTGGCAAATAATTTTTCTCTTAGAATCTATGTCCTACGACCACTCCTGGTTCCAGCTGTCTTCATTGGGTTCCCTGGAAATAGACTCTGAAAATGAACCATTGCATGCAGAAGGTATTTTTAGAAACGTTTTTGGAAGACACAGCTGTTAAGAACTGGAAAAGGTAGGATTGGGCAGGGGGAGAAGCTGGCCCACATGAGGTTACAACAGAACTCCGGAGGCTTCTACAGTGAACTCTGGAACTGAGATAAACTTTCAGAATTGTCGCATAATGAAGCACGGAGGACAGGCTTAGGACTCCCTACAAAAGGAAATCATTGGTTGCAGGTCACTTCTGAAAGGAAATGTAACCTTGAGTGAGTCAGTTTTCTGCTGCTGAGGGCAATTTCCAGCAAAGAGAGCTGCTTTGAGCCATCAGCGGCTGTTAATCCCAAAAGCAGGGCTTGGATACATCAGCCTTAAGGAGGAATCTGGGCAGAGCACCGCAGTACACACTCCATATATCTTGTTGTAGTTGTTGCTGTTGCTGTTGTTTGAGACGGAGACTTGCTCTGTCACCTAGGCTGGAGTGCAGTGGTGTAATCTCAGCTCACTGCAGCCTCTGCCTCCCAGATTCAAGTGCTTTTCCTGCCTCAGCCTCCCAAGTAGCTGGGATTACAGGCAAGCACCACCAGGCCCACCTAATTTTTATATTGTTAGTAGAGATGGGTTTCACCACGTTGGCCAGGCTGGTCTTGAACTCCTGACCTAGTGATCTGCCCACCTCGGCCTCCCAAAGTGCTGAGATTACAGGCGTGAGCCACCATGCCCGGCCTCTTGTTTTATTTATATTCCAGCTGTGTTCAGCGAAGACTTTCTAGGCTGAGTGGTTTCCTGCTTCCAGAAGGACAGTCTTTTTTTCTGTGAGCTATACAGAAGGAATTGAACCTCACAGAGATTAAGGCCTGTCCTGAGATCAAATGAGTTGGCGAGTGACAGAGAGAGAGACAGCAGGATCAGGCAGGCAAATAGGGTAGGTCACTATTGAGGAAATGGTACAGTCATAGCCTTCTGTCACAGGATCCAAGCTACCTACAGGAAGTCTCTAGAAGAGATTCAGCATTTAGAATTCAAAAGACTTAGGAAGCTCATTGTCATCACAGCAATGGAAGGACTTTGGCACAATTTCTCAAACACCTGCAAGAGGGCTTCTGCTTATTTTGAAAGGGAAGCAGCTCAAGCCAAATTGCCCAATCCACCCTTCGAGAAGAGACTGATTGTCATTTAAAGGCTACTGCTACTGTCTGTCTAGAACTCTACAATGTCTACCTTTTGAGAGTATTCATGTCCTGCAGGGCACCAGATGGGTGTCTAGAAATCTCCAGTCTCAGCCCCCACTTTATTTTTTCCTCATTTTCTCAGTGTTGAGCAGACATCAGGATCAATCTCAAGTGGGTAACATGAGCCACAGTTGTTACTCCAGGAAAAGATGCTTGCAACATTGTTCTTTCACTACTGTGTAGTGAGATGTCCTTGAAAGAAGATCCACATATATTGCCACAACTGCTACCAGATACTCCTCCAAAGCATATAAAAATGGAATTAGTCCCAGAGCTTGCCAGAGATCGAGTTCTCGTGGCCAGGCTTCACCTCCAAATATTGTGGTCCATTCATCCATTCACTTAATTGGTGCTAATGAAGCTCAGAACCACTGATTTGGTTGAAATGTGGACCAGTTAGCCCTGTTTTCATCTCTGATTATACAGGCTCTAATCCCAAACCCAGGCATCTTGATCTCAGATGGAGACTGGGTTGTGGTGGAACAGATGGGCCATGTGAATGGACCGCAAATGAAAATCATAGGCCAAGTCACCCTGCTGATGGCAAGCCAACTATCTTAACCTCCACAGGAAGATACAATCACTATGAGGGAATCTGAGTACTTAATAATCATTTGTGAAATTAATGGACAAACTCCTTAAATGGGGTAACTGTACTCTGCATTTCACATGTCTACCCATGGCTTCTCTGTTTCCGTGTTAAACTAGAAATTGATGCTGAGCAGAGCTTTCCCTCCTCCTCATCCACTGGCAGGAAACATATCATGTCTCAGCACACCAGGGGATACCCGGTGACCTGCTGGGGAGCGTGAGCTGGAGCAGTTCCTGTGACAGCGTGTGTCACTTTGCCTTAATAAAAATTACCAAACTTAAAACAGATGCCAGCTGCAGATGCTGAGAAACTGAAACATATAAACTATCTCTTTTTCTTGGAATGTGTTTTTTTTTTTTCCTCATGGGTTGGGTCTTTTTTTGACCAACTGGTGTGTGTGTGTGTGTGTATGTGTGTGTGTGTGTGTGTGTGTGTGT